ATGCTCATCAAAATATCTGGAGGTCTTGTACTTTGGAGTTTCACATCCTCCACTAAATAGAGTGTCACGAGTTCAATTTTCTTTGACCAGTTATCTTTGTTTGATATTAATATTGCTAAACTGATGTGATCTCTAGTAACTAAATTTGATATATGACAACTCTTATCTATTAACTTAGTTGAACTACAAACATTCATCATGGTCTTAAATCTGACACCAAGCCAACATATAAACTCTCATGCATGAATGAAAAAAAGAGAGGAGATTTTCTCTTCTCTCATACTTATATTATGCATCATCTCAAACCCACTATTTTTTTTTATAAAAACTATTAATTTCAATTCTTTACCTAAAGTAGAAAGAATGAAATATCAATATTGATCGTAGCCATAATTTTATCATCAACGCATTTCTTTTAAAAATGTATGTTGATAAATCAGAAAAGGTCGTGATCATCCTTTCAGAAATATGATAGACTTGGGTATAATTTAAAGCTTTTATTTTGAGTTGGGCTGAACTTAATTTATATTTACGATTAAATCTAAGTAAAGTTTACGTTAAAAATCAAATATCTAAATATTAAAGATACATATCTAATCACAACGGTTCATCAAAGTTGGAGATGAAGTTAAGATTAAATCTTGAGGGACAAATTGTATAAAAACCTAATAAGTACTTAAATAAAAAAAATAAAAGATTAAGGCTTAATTTTGTTAATATTTAAACTTATAAGACTTGAAATTAAATTAAACCAAAAATTTTGAAGAGCGCTTGTCAATATCAAAGCCAAGGCAGTAGGAAGAGGGGATCAAGCAGCCCCCCCCCGAACCCTCAACCCTTCGTATTTAAAAAATCACAGTGCATAATATATTTTAAATTTTAAATTATTCAAATCTAAGTTTATTTTTATTTATAAACTATTCAAGTATTTTTGCTCATATTTAAATTAAATATTATTATTCATTAAATATTTAGATATATAAAAAAATTAAATTCAAAATTTTAATCATAGATTGAATATCTGAATCTGCTAAAATTTAGATGATTAAGGTTAGAATTTTTTTAAATTTTTATCTAAGCGAATACCAAAGAGCCAAGTCAAGAAGTAGATGATATGTCTAAGTATATGGCAAAAGCCCACTGACTAAGATGATGGGTTGGTCCAATTAAATCTAAAATCTACATCCATAAAACTATAGGATGGAAAATGTAATTGGTTTGTTTTGGGGTAGAAAAATAAAGCCTAAAGCCAATACACAAATTGGGTTTAAATTGATACTTAATGATTTAACAACATATATATTTTAATTATTTTATCCATGTATTTTTTAAATAAAACTAGAGTTAATTGCATCATGTCCTCAAAGCATGTCCTTCATTTTAATTTGGTCTCTAAACTTTTAAATGTTCTAATTCATCCTTAAACTATGACTATCATTCTAAATTAGTCCTCAAATTTTCGAATATTTCAATTTCATCCCCAAACTATGACATTCATTCTAAACTTGTCCTCAAACTTTATGAACATTCAAATTTCATCTCAAACTATACATATATACTAATCACATCCCTTGTTAATAAAATCGTAAGGCCAAGTTATATTATTATATTTTTGGGAAAAAAATATAGGCTATATTATGGTTGAAACTAATTACATGCATGTTTGCATGAATTTGGGGATGAAATTGGAATATTCAAAAGTATGGGGACCAATTTAGAAAGAGAGTCATAGTTTAGGGATGCAATTAGAACGTTCAAAAGTTTAAGGACTAATTTAGAATGAGAGCCATAGTCTATGGATGAAATTAGAATATTAAAAATATAGGGATCGGTTTAAAACGGGAGTTATTGTTTGGGGACATATGACGTAATTAACTCTTAAAATTGTAAACAATTTATCTATATGAATTTCAATAATTACTATTGATCGTCACTAGAGTAAAACTATTATAAATTACAATATAATAATTGTGTATGATAGGACTCCAACTTAAAGATTTAAAAGTAGATGTGAAAATTGGGTGAGTTAAATGAAATTCAAGAAGCTTCTAGAGTCATATTTTGGCACGATTTAAACTGTTCTTTTCCTTTATTAACTATTGAGTTAATTTTTTCGAATTTACATTAGTTTTGTTGAGATTGTTTTAAAAATTAATTATAACACTAAATGAAACATAAATTTCTTTTCACAACTGAAAGGACTAATGTCAGTCTTATGTAAGAATTACACAATCCATTTGGTCTTAAAATCGACCTTATCTTGTTCCAGTTCAACAAAGTACTTTGTATTTGGCCCAACATTGAAAAATAATTTTTTTATATAAAAAAATTTCATGATTAACGTGCATGAATATATATATGCATGATACCATCAAAATTCTTGTTGCACGACAAGAAAGCAATTCGGTAAAAATTAATTATTTCTTTTTTTTTTCAGTCAATTTGAATACCTAATATTCATATATTTGTCTACTTTGGAAATTAAAATTACCTACTAAATTTATTCTGATATAACTTGGATATTGTTGTGAAATAGATAAGATAGTGGCAAACAAATGAACATTAACCAAAGGAAAGAAATAAAGGAACGCATATTTTGCACTTGAAAAACTCTAAACAAGAAAAATTATGATCGTGTATTTGTTATTTATTTATTTATTATATATACTTAAAATTATATATCTATAATAATGACTAAACATTTAAGATTAAAATGTTAATAACTACGATATGTTAAATTGAAATTTCGATTTATTTCAAAAGTAAAAGAATGATAAGCAAACTATGTTACTCTTAACCTTACTAATACTATAGAAACTTCTGATAAATTCAAGGTCTCTACCGTCGTTTATCTTTGATTAAAAAAACATATTTTATAAAGAATAGGCCAAATTCATTTAACCATTTTACAATGACATTGAAACATAAGGTATGATATTATTTAATTCACGAGCACTTAACACTTTATTATGAAATTCATGATATCCTTTTTTGAATTGACTAAATCTAGATTCTGACCAACCTCTTTGGGCTTTAATTGTCACAATCAAGAATCACGTGAAAAATTTCGGTCAAAAAAAAGAATCACGTGAAATAAATAAATAGGTAAACCACATCACTAGTCAGCAAATTATTGATATTTGTATACTTTAGTCACCAACTTATTGCTATTTTTCTACTTTAGTCACCAAACTCCTCTTTAAAAAAATCTTCACTATTGTTATATATTTTTTTAATTTTTATAATTTATATTATAAAAATATATTTTTATAAAATAATTGTAATTACTTTAAACTATAATTTTACATAAATAATATTATTTTTTTTCAATTATGTAACTAGTGCATAGTTCGGTGTAGCGGTTAAAAAATGGTATGTTCCACCGTCTTATTAAGAGTATAACTTATTAAAAAAAAATGACGTGCGATAATATTAAAATGAAAAGGGAAAATAATGTGAAAAATCGAGAATATCACATTAATATCACTATTAATTTTTTAATTATTAGTGATATATATATAAAAGATTTGATTTAAAAAATGATTATTGTAATAAAAACTATTTATTGATAGATAAATTTAGATCAAGTTTTGTACATGACCATTATGGTGGAGATCCTCCGAACTCAATTTGGTCCATTCGTAAATATCAAAATTTAAATCTCTGACTTTGCTTAAGTGATCTAGTGTCTCTTCCGTTAGACCAATTAATTGTTTGTGGTGTAATTTACCTTTAATAAATATTATATTGAGTAGACTTATTAAGTGGCCTAAGTGGTAAAAGCAAAATTTTATTCTTTCTAAAAAATTCAAAATCGAACAATTACGTCTGTAGGGTATGTGTACTTTGTCAATAACTTAAAATATTTCAAATAAATATTATCTATAATCATCTCATGTTAATAAAAAAAATATACGAGTGATTTTGAATTGTTTCTTTTTTATATGCCCTTTAATTTGTTTTTTAATAGGTTGCTTAGAGCAACACATATATTGGAGATAGTTAAAATTAATAATACGTGGGAGATGTTAACATTTAACTTTAAAAATTGTTAAAAAAAACTAATGGATTCAATAAAAGTTAATGATCAAAACGTTAGAAAATTTTATTTTATCAATATTATTATTAATTTAGCTAATAATATCAATTAGTTTTATTAAATAAAACAATAATAAAATCATAATAAAAAAATTCAAAGACAAAGATAGATTTGAACTTATTGAATGGTCTCAGAGATAAATAGTATTGTTCTCCCTAATAATACGTCAAGTTTTGAATAAACCTGAAATACATAATTCTTTATCAATAAAAAAATATATTATATTTTTTAATATTATATAATTAATATTTTGTTCATATAAAATATATATACGTCAAGTTTTGAATAAATCTGAAATGCATAATTCTTTATCAATAAAAATTTTAAACTATTAAATATATTTTGATAAAGATTGTACTGTTCATGGATATAATAGAAATATTAAGATGATATTTGATATGATGTTTCTTATTCAATGTTTATGTCATTATATTTGAAACTTTGGTTAATATCTTGTAGATCTTGTATATTCAAAAGGGCTTAAACATATACCTTCTTAGATTAATTAAAAATAATAATTAGGTTAGGCCATTGTTTTTATCTTCCTAGAAACTGGTCATACTTGACAAGGGAAAACAATATCGAAGTGACAATATTTTTTATACACTCAATTAGAGGCAAAGTCAAATTAAGATATGTTACTAAATTCACTAAACAAAGATTAGTCTAATTATGCAATTCACAACAAATCCAAAGAATTTCGTTAAGACCTTCAAAGCAGCATTCAAAAGGAAGGTTCCTTTGATTTTGAAATTAGACTGAAATAGTAATTAGGAAAATCATTGGACTGGATTAATTAATACATATTTCTAGAGTATTATAAATAAGAATAACTGTAATTACAGTTAATATAATTTATATAATTACAAATGAAGGTCCTAAAATAACAAAACAAAAAATTAAGACTAAAATAAAAGAAAAATAAATGACTAAAACTACAAGTAGATGAAGAAGGTAATATACAGGGATAAATTGAGAGGTGTTAGAGGTACTAACCTTAGAAAATTTTAGAGTCTCATATAATTTTGATATTTTGTTTGTATTTTTTATTGACTATCTAATTTTGCACTTTCGAATTTTATATTTTTGTACTTTATAAAATTTTAATATAAATTCTTAATTTTGCACCTCTAACATAAAATTCTACTTGGTTATTTGATAATATATTTGATTCGCCATTCACCAAGGTGTAGCAGCTTGAACCGAAGTAGTGAGGAGTTGCTCCAAAAAATCAGCACCTAAATCCTCAAACACCACCGCATTGCTTATCCTCACACCGCCGACGCCGATGCTGCCACCACCACCATTTCTTTCTTTCTTGTTTCCTCCCATCATTTTCCTCTTCATCGAGTATTTTCTCTTCAACGCCACAACCGGCGAACACCCTTCATCTTGGCCACACTTCATTTCCCTCAGCGATTCCCTCACTTTCTCCACCGGAAAGTTGAGTATCGCCGCGGAGCCTCTCATCGCAAACGCCGCCTGATCGTAAGCCATAGCTGCTGCTTCCGCACTGTCGAATGTTCCGAGCCAAACCCTTATCCCGTTTCTGGTTGAATCCCTTATCTCCGCAGCGAACTTCCCCCAAGGCCGCCGTCTCACGCCTCGGTACACCTTTTCTTTCGTCGGGATTTCGGTCTCCATTGAACTAACCTCTGGTGTTTCTTGTTTAACCTCAGCTAGTAGCCCATACAACAGCATCTCTTCGGAGTCATTTTCGTTGAAAGGAAGAGAATTGTGATCTATCGGGAAAAATTCCTGCGACCCGAACGAAGATTCCGGTGAACAACTTGAATTCGGGGAGTGAAAAAGGAAGGAATCCATCGCTTTTTAGAGTAATTCCTCTGCTTTTTTTCTCTGTTGTGTTGAGATGCAGAGCTATAAACACTTGAGGCTTGGGCTGCCCTTTTATAAACGAGAGGAATCGAAGTGGGATTTAAATGTAATTAAGAAGAATTCGACAAGTGGCATAGGAGGCTGACATGGCATTATATTATTTATTCATTATTTTTGTGGGTCCTACTAGTAAGGTTAAATGTACACGTGGGTCAATTTAAGCTTGATGGCCAAAGTTCGAGCAAGTGACGTGGGTGAATGACCTCACCTTTTGTCGGGTACGATACCAGCATGGGGACTCCTGTCCACTTTGTCATCCTACGTGGATGACACAGACAACACACATTTGTAGCTAGGAACGAAGTCGATTATTTGTAAAATTTATATTTATGACTCACATATTTGCATTATGAATTTGACTCACATATTATAATTTTATGACTTCAATTATGTTTATGTAGGTATATAAATTTTAATGCATTAAAAATTTGTACTTTATAGATTCTTAACAATAAATTAAATTTGCATGTATTTTATTTATAAGGATTAAAGGTCACATTTGTCTTTGTAGTGTACTCAATTTATTATTTCCACTCTTATTGTATTTTTGCATTAATTTAGCTTTTAAAGTTGTTTAATTACATCATTCTATACCATATTTCTAACTTAAAATCCTAAAGTGATAACCCTAAACCATAACCCATAACCTCTAAACCATAACCTTAAACCTTAAGCTCTAACTTAAAATCTTCAATTTAGGATTTTAAGTTAGGGGTAGGGTATAGAATGATGCAATTGAACAATTTCGAGAACTAAATTGATGCGAACATATGATAGGAGAAAAATGATAAATTGAGTATACTACAGGGGCAAAAGTTACCCTTTTGCCTATTTATAATTGTAATAGATGGTACAATTTGTGAGGGTCGTAAGTAGTAGAACTCCTTTGATTTAGGTGGAAAGGTCTTATAAGTGGTTGTGTTCAGTAGCAGATTCAAAAATATTGTTGAGGGAAGGCACACATATGTTAATAACACAATTTTTGAATAGGATGGACAAAAATTTTTTTTAGGGTGGACACTATCAATAAACTAAATAATGAATCGAAGAAAATTCAGATTTCAGGGTGTACACTTGGATAGCTATAGATCCGTCACTGATTGTGAGGATCATAAGTGATTACTCTCTTTCGGAGAAAGAGTCGTTGTCGATGATGGTATAAAAGAGGGATGGAATATGATATGACGAAGAAGAAGAAGAGCAGTGGAGAAGATGAACAATAGAGAAGGTTCTATCCCTCTTTAGTCTTGCACAAAAGTTTATATAATGACTCTTTGTGCGTATGGGTGTTAGACCTTGGTCATTATTACTATCCGAACCTAGATTTACGGGCTATGATGGGCATATCGATTTTATATTGGAGGTTCCCCAGTTTTATCCTCCGACTTAGCCTCTCTTGTAATATACATTAGGATTTTGTAAACTTGCCTAAGCCCAAACATCTCGATAGTTGAAAATATTGTTATCATAATTTTTGTGGGTGTTAATCGCTCGACTTGTGAATTTAACGGAGTTGTGTCAATGCTCATATATACAACGGAGGATCCTTGACGCTATGTTGGGCTTATGGATGAAACAGTAACATCTCGACTCTTGGTAAAGGTCAAGGATGAATTCTCGTGGCTTTAACAGATGCATCTCGACTCTCTGGTCTGCATACCTTCGACCATAGAGGAAGAAACTCGACACCCTCAAAAGAGTCTGGTTGATGAACGGAGGCATCTTTGTCTGGGTAGAAGCAATGAGTAGTTTATAATTTCCTCTTGCTAAGGCAAAGACATCTCGACACTCCTGATAGCAATGGAGCCTTATAGAATTCCAAGAGCTCTCTGGAGCTCCATGTCCTCATGACAATTACATCCTTTTGATATGATTGTTGTCAATCCCACCACTGACAAACGTTGTTGTATAATGACTAAGTTAACTCATTATGTCTAGCCACGAATAACAATCATGACCTAAGTCGTACATCTGCACACATCATGCAAGATTGAAGAGGGATCAAACCTTCTCAATTGCTCTTTTTATTCTTCTTCTTTCTAACATCTTTCATCCTCTTTCATACAAACATCAACGGTAATTTTCGTCCAAATCAAAAAGAGTAAACTACAAATAAAAAAGGAATGAATCACTTACGACGGTCACAATGCACGTTGTATCATCAACAATGTTCAACATTTTTAAATTTATTGAAAGTTATTGAGAATAACAATTTAAGAACAATATATATATATATAATTATTTTTCTGAAACTCGTGGCACTTCGTTTGAAAATTCAATCGACATTCAATTATAAAATAAGATTTCGAAACTAAAAAGATATATGTGATGAAAATTTTAGACGAAACCTTAATTGTTTGAATACATTAAAGAAATGTAAATATTCGATGTTTAAATCACATAGATATAGACAGGAGGGTACATTCCTATTTAACATTGTTCAATGAATTGGGGTAAACATCCAAAGAATAGTGGCTCCATGATTTGACACAATGAAAAGCAATCCCAATTTGGAATATTTCTCTCTCTCTTATTCATGGAAAATGGGAAACAAAACATGCGTTTCACATCGGAGTTTCTTAAAATATAAATTGTGCTAAAATATATAAAAACATGTAATAGATTAAGGATTATTTATAATTGGAAATAAAGAGATTTTAATATATATATTGATAAATTCTAAATCTACTTAGAAGAGAAGGGAAATGAGGACTCCAAAAGAAACAATGAGAGTATTCTTAATAGGTATAGAACTAATAGGTATAGAACTTGTGACTTAAAAGAATATAGAAAAACAGAGATGATCAACTTGATCAACCGATCAAATATGCTTGATATTTTAATAATTTTAATTGAATTAAAGTGTAGTTAACTAACGACATCGACTCAATAAGAACATTATATTAGTATAGAGATCTCTATGAATATATATTTATTATAATTTTTTTGGTTGAATTAATGTTGCAGATTAATTCAGTATCAACTTGATTAGGAAAAAATAGAATATTCATTATTTGGATGGTAATACATATTTTTATAGTAACATGTTTTTTTTATATATATAAGCTTAACACAAAAATAGTGTTCAAATTATACTCTAAGTTAACTTTAGGTGTATAAAGTATTTTTTTAAAAGCATGTGTGTTTACACTTTTAAGTGCCGAATGTTTTATCCGTTACACTTTTAGGTGCATATACAATAATGATCGTTAAAAAACCGTTTAATGACATGTGTCATGTTTATATTTTGGCTTAATGCAATAATAAGTGACTAAACTATACCCTAAGTTAACTTTAGGTACATAAAGAATTTTTCGCTAAGAATAGGTGTCTAATATTTCCGACATTACACTTTAAGTGTCTAGGCTGTAACAATCGTTAAATTCGATCATTATCTAACATGTGTTGTGTTTATATATTTTTTTATTTTTTAAAATAAAAATATTATTTAAAAAAACAATTTTAATAGAAAAGTCGCCCCTCTTGCCTCACAACCCCCTCGCTTGAGCAAAAAAATTCCCCTCCTCAATTACATTCAGAGCCCCCTTCATCATCCTTGTAAATCTCTAAAGTTAACTTAAGGTGAAAATGATAAATTTGAGATTAGGGTTAAGGATTTGGGTATTAACTAGGTTTAGAGATTTAAGTTTGGATTTATGGATTTTAGAGGATTGGAATGAAAACAAGAGGGATGGTCAGGAACGGAGGTCCGATGACGGCTAAGTGATTGTTTGACAATGGCAAGGCGACCTATGATAGATGGTAATATGGTTGAAATGATAGATTTTAAGGTTTCATGTTTTTTTGTAATTTTAGAAAAAAAATTTAAAATTAATAAATATTATTAATGCTTTTTTAAAAAATAAAAAATTCAAAAAATATAAGCATGCCACGTATCACTTAACAATTTTTTAACTGTCATTACTGGTTAGGCACTTAAAAGTGTAAAATCGGAAACGCTAGACACCTATTTTTAATAAAAAAAATTCTTTAAGCACCTAAAATTAACTTAGGGTATAGTTTGGACACTTATTTTTACATTAAGCTAAATTATAAACATTACACGTATATACTAGTTATATTATGTAAATGTATGTTGAAGATAATATTTTTTATCCATTTTATTATTATTATTATTATTATTATTAGTATTATTATTATTATTAGCATTATTATTATTATTATTATTATTATTATTAGTATTTATTATTATTATTAATATTATATATTATTATTATTATTATTATTATTTAATAAATAATTACAACTGGACCGGCCCAGTTACAATCCAACTAGAACCGGTCCAGCCAACCAGAAACCCTAAACAAAGTAAGGTTTCAGCTAGGGTTTCTAAACCCTAGCCACACGCCAGCCGCCTCTGATGCTTCCAGATCCCAGCCGCCGCCTCACTGCCAAGTGGTCCAATGGCCCACTGCCGACGCCTCCGCCGCTGCCACGTCCCGAATGAAAGCTCCAGAAGATCAACGCCGGCCGTCCACGCCAAGGCTACGGGGTGAGTCACCACTGGTAGTCCGGTGACTCACCGAAGCCCTCTCTTTGGACCGGTCCGATGACCGCACCGGTGGTGGCTATAAAAGCCACCACCCACCTGCGAGACAGAAAAAAAGACAGAGACAGAAACAGAACAAAAAAAAAAAAACAGAGAAAAGAAAACAAACAAACTACCAACGATCTCAGTCAGCATCAACCACAGCAAGGAAAAAGAGAGAAGAAAGACAAAAGCTTACCCTGTCACCGGAGAGCCCCAACCGTCGCCGGATCTCACCAAAACTTAAAAAAGCCGAAGGTATTTTTTGTAGATTTGCTCTGATAGGGATTGTTTTAAGGGAAACAGTCATCGGAACCATCAATAAGATGGTCCGATCTATCTTTAGGAGTAAAAAATATTTTTTCCGGCCACCGGATGCGGTGGCCGGCGGCGAGGTCAACAC